AAAAAAAAAGTGGAGCGGTTCCCGGATTGAACGGACGTCGGCGGTATTTGACTAGGACGTCAACCCTAATCAGCATCGCTGTTTGACCTGAGGGTTTTGCGGCCCTCAAGTCACAGGCACTGCCTGATGCCCGTTTGCGGGATTTGAAGACCCCACTGGGGAAATATCAATTTGCAGCAGGATTGATCGGCGAATTACCTGAGGAGGTGGATTGGAAATGGTGGAGAGGATTTTGCCTGGGCGCAAACCAACGTCGTGTCAGCCAGGCCCCTTTATCTCGGTCAATGGTTTGACCGACGACCTTCTCCAATCAAGACCTTGATCGAGTGAGTTCGTTCCGACGACCAGTTCCCTTGATGTCAGTCTGTTAGTCTGTCTGTCTATCAGTCGTCTAGAGGGTGCTGCCTGTTTGTCAGTCCGGACGTCGTTCTCTTTCTCTGCAAATTGAAATATCCGGCAGTTTATTTTTATTCTTTCTTGCGTGATCTCGGAATTTCTCGCCCTGCTAATTGTGCTGGTGTTCTAAGGAAAATCCGGAAAGGATTTGATGAAAGGTTATTTTATTTTTTGATTAGGTTGCTGCGTGCGGTAAAAAGGAAATCATTGGTTGATTTTGTTGTTGATCGTTGCTAGCAATCTCCCTGAGCACCTACTGACACTAAGCACTATTCTCCCGTATGTCTTAACCCTTCATTCCGATTAGTTTGTTGTTCTGTGTGTGAACTCTGATCCGAATTTTTATTTTATTTTGGGAAAATAATACATTTGGGTATGGGTGACGGTGCAGGCTCTGGCGGTCCTGGGGAGGACAGAGGCAAAGGTCTCGTTATCCCCAAAACCGCCATTGAGCTGGCGATTGAGAAGGAGGAAGCGGATGCAGAAGAAAGCCGCAAGAGAATTGAGAGATTGAAGAGAGAAAAGGCTGAGGGAGATAAAAAGGCTCAGGCAGAAGCCAGACGGGCAGTGCTGGCAGAGCATTTTTTGGCCGCTGAATCTGATGAAAGGTTTAGCGACACCAACAAGAAAATGGCTGAGTGGATCCGCTTGGAGTTCACGTCAATCAGAGATGCCCTCACTGCCTGGATGGACCGGGCTGCTGCACTAGAAGACCGCTTGACTACAGCTGAAGCCAAACAGTCATTTATTGTAGAGTCACTGGATCGAATCAACCAACGTCTTACTACATCTCTTACCTCTCTCCCTGTTCACTCAGTCAAACCCGAACTCAAACCGGTCTCTACTTCGCCTACAACAGCACACTCTTCGCCCAAAGGGAAACCTACTTCCCCAAAGCAGCAGATTGTCCCTGAGGACCTGAAACTTGGCGCTGGCAATTCAAGCCAGGAGGAGCAACGTTTCCCCAAGATGATGCAACCTGACAAATTCACTGGCGACGACGCCAAAGTGGACGTGTCAGATTGGATCGCTTCCATGAAGTCCTATCTGAGGGGATTCACCTGCCCAGAGGTCAACAAGGTGCAGTCCACTGTGGCCCTATTAGCGGGGTCAGCATTGAAGTGGGCGACCTCTGAGGCCACCAAGTCTCAGCAGCAGTTATCGGATTGGGCTGTTGCAGTGGGCTTAGAGACCATCTTCCAAGGCCTGTAGGCGAGGTTTGCAGATAAGGAAAAGGCCCGCAAGGCTGCAGACGAGCTGGTTAGTCTTGGCCAGACAAAGTACAGGGGTTCCCTGGCCAAGCTCTATGCAGAATTCGAGCGTCTTACTTCTACTCCCGGTTTGGAGATGTCTGGCAGGGACCAACTGACTTGGTTCATCAGGGCAGCTCCTGAGAAATATACCACGGCCCTCTATTTTGCCGGACACAAAGACTGACGATCCTTTGACATGGAGGCCACCCTCCATGTCCAGTCCACTCCCCAGAAGGGAGGCAACCCCTCTTCCGAGATTATGAGGAAGGGAAATGGGAATTTGTATGCCATGGAGTCTGATGATGACTCTGCAGACACTAGCCAGGGAGGATCTACTCCCCCAGCTGGCCAGGGCGCAGGGACATCAGCAGACCAGGCTGCTCAGGTGGTGGCCCAGGCACTGCTAGCCCTCACAGGAGGCAAGCAGTTCCAGGGACAAAAGTCCTCCAGTCCTAAGGGGTCAGGCAAACGCCCCTGTGATCCGCAACAGCAGAACCTTCCGAAGTTTGCCAAGTGCCCAGCCAGTCCCTTGGACATTTCCTCTGCTCCTTGGAGGGATCTAAGAATCCCAGAGGGCGTATGGCAAAAGAGGAAGGAAAAAGGGGTCTTTTTGAGGTGTGAGGGCAATCACTATGTCAAGGATTGCCCTAGGTTGAACCACAGCAACTGCAGCCACTCAAAAAACTGAGCAGGCCAGCAGAGGCTGCAGCCAGCCCTGCTGAACTGTATTCATCTCCTTTAGGAGATGAATCAGCTGCTGCGCCGGATTTTTCTGAGGCTGCAAGGGACTCAATCTACTCTTATATTGAGCCCTATCTTGATGAGCCCTATCTTGATGAGCCCTCATCTGAGGAGGAGCTTCATCAGCTCTGTTCCCTTTATCTCCAGTTAAAGGAGAAGAGGAAGAAGAGATCAGAACTGATCATGCTCAAGCCTCAAATTAAAAGAACCAGGATCAAAGCCTTGCTTGACTGTGGGGCTACAAGGAACTTCATTTCTCAGAATGGAGTTCAGAAATTTCATTTGGGTCTCAAGGTTACTGACCTTGAGCATCCTTTGGAGATACAGATAGGGAATTCCCAATCTGTCTCAGTCAAGCAAGTCATCAAAGGAGTGCCAGTCACCTTTGATGACAAAGGGGAAATCAGACATTCCCTGAATTTCTATGTTTTTCCCCATCTTCCCTTTGATCTGGTCCTGAGTCTAAAGTGGTTAAGGACTACTAACCCTTCAATTGACTGGGCTCTGCCCAGTATTCAATTGAAGAATTTCCAGGGTCAGCTAAGACAATGTGTCTTAGCTATTGACCATCATCCTAAGACAAATTGTTACTGCCTGAAAGCCAGGGAGTTTTACAACTTGTCTAAGGAAACTGACCATGAGAATCTATTTGTGGCTTATGTCACTAAAACAGATTCAGATTTCTCCCCTTCTCAGATTGATCTTTCCATTCAACAGGTGGTTGATGAGTTTTCTGATTTAACTCAGGAGCCTACTAGACTAGTCCATAGGCAGACCAAGCACCATATTCAGATTCTGCCTGACTCTACCCCTCCCAAAGGAAGAGTCTATAGGATGTCACTTGCTGAACTGGATGAGTTGAGGAAACAGTTGGAGTCCTTGACAGAGAAGGGATGGATCAGGCCCAGCTGGTGTGAGTATGGGGCACCGGTTCTCTTTGTTCCAAAGGGAAATGGTGAACTCAGGATGTGCATTGACTATAGGGGCCTGAACAAGATCACTAGGAAGAGCGCCGAACCCTTGCCTAGGATCGATGACTTGCTGGACATGGTGCAAGACTGCAAAGTCTTCAGCAAAATTTATCTGAAATCCGAGTATCATCAGATCGAAATGGCTGAAGAGGATGTCTACAAGACAACCTTTAAAACCCGGTATGACACCTATGAGTTCCTGGTCATGCCTTTTGGTCTGTGCAATGCACCAGGAACATTCCAGATTGAAATGAATCGCATTTTCAGACCTTTCCTTGACCGCTTTGTTGTGGTGTACCTGGATGACATTCTGGTATACAACAAAGATGCCAAGGAGCATGCAGACCACCTCAGGAAAGTTCTGCAGGTCCTGAGGGAACATAAGTACAAACTAAACAAAGAGAAATCATCATTTGGTGTTTCCTCTGTTTTGTACCTAGGTCATGTGATCTCTGCAGATGGTATATCCCCTGAAGCCTCTAAAGTGGCTGCAGTCAGGGAATGGCCACAGCCACAGACTGTGAGGGATATCAGATCTTTCATGGGGTTAGCTTCTTACTACAGGAAGTTCATCAGGAACTTTTCCTCTTTTGCTTTCCCCTGACAAATCTGTTAGCCAAGGATGTTCCCTTCAGGTGGTCCACCACTTGTCAGCTGGCTTTCTCCAGATTGAAGAAAGCACTTACCCAGGCACCTATGCTGAAACTACCTGACCCTACCTTGCCATTTGTGTTGACCACAGATGCAAGTCAGTATGGTGTTGGTGCAGTCTTTCAGCAAGATGATGAGACCGGCCTGAAACCGGTGGAATTCATGAGGAAGAAAATAAAGGTGCAAAGAATTCAGGCGTCTACTTATGAAAAGGAACTGTATGCTCTCGTCTGTGCCCTCAAACAGTGGAAGCATTTCTTACTTAGGAGACATTTTAAAATCTTTTCTGATCATTCCACCCTGCAGTGGATGAAGACCCAAGGTGAGTTAAATGATAAATTGGCAAGGTACATTCAGTTCATCGACGGATTTGACTTTGAACTGAWGCACAAGAAGGGATGCTATAACAGAGTTGCTAATGCATTGTCACGTAGACCTGATTCCTTTGCAGCCATTGTTGACACATACTCTTTTGCGGATTCCACCAAAAAGGTCATTACTGATACGTTGCCTCAGGATCTGGTCTTTGGCCCCATTCTTAGGAATTTAGAGGCTGACCCCAGTTCTGAGTCAGGATATGCCTTGACTTCAGGCTTGCTGTATACAATCAGCGAAGGGGAAGAACGTCTGTGCATCCCTAATGATCGCAAAATCATCACTCATCTGATCTCAGAGAGCCATGATGCTCGCGGTCACTTTGGGTTCTTAAAGACGTATGCTGCCCTGACCCAACGTTTCTATTGGTCTAAAATGAAGGACGATATACTGCATTACTTGGAGACCTGCGAATTGTGTCAAAGGAACAAGGTCCACAGGCGACCTCCTATGGGACTTCTCAAACCCCTACCTATCCCTGACGGTCCAGGTGAGTCAGTGTCCATTGATTTCACAGATCTGGGCAAAACCACTCCACGTGGAATGAGACAGGGAATGGTTTGTGTGGATCGATTCTCTAAGTATGCTGAGTTTATTCCCTTACCTGCTGAGGCCAGAATACCTCTGGTCAGAGAGCTCTTTTGTGAGAGGTGGGTAAATGTCCATGGGTGTCCAACCTCCATTGTCAGCGACAGAGATCCCAGATTCTGCAGCGATGATTGACAGTCTTTCTTTAAGGACTACCTACATTCCAGACTAGACATGACCTCTGGCAGACATCCCGAAGCCTAAACTGATTTCCCCTCGTGAAGGCAAAGTGATGAGAAGGACCTAGAGAAAGCGAGAACTAATATGAGAAGGACCTAGAGAAAGCGTAAACTGACAGACATCCCAGATTCATCACTTCGGCCTGCTGATCTGGACGATCTGATTGACAAGTCCAAGCCTAAACTAACTCCTGGGACTGCAAAATTCACCAAGAGTTATGAGAAGGACCTAGAGAAAGCGAGAACTAATATGTTCAAGGCCCAGCGGAGGATGATCGAACAGGCTAATAAGCGTCGCTCTCCCTCGACTATTCGGCCAGGTCACTATGTCTGAATGAAAAGATCTGAACTTACTGACGAACAAGATATTTCACGGAAGTTGTTGCCTGTTTACTATGGCCCATGGCAGGTGCTTGATACAGTGGGGACAGATCCATTTGGACCTTCGTATGTGCTTGCTGTACCCCATCATATCAGGACCTATCCAGTCTTCCATGCCTCAAAACTGCTGCCTTTCACTTCTGCTGATGCGCTTCCTGATAGGCCACCACAGTTTGGTCCTCCAATCCCTGACAAGGGATACGAAGTTGAGAGCATCGAAGATCAATGGGGCACAGGCCCCAACTGTGAATACCTTGTGAAGTTCCTGTTCCAACCTCACACAGAGGACCGATGGTTCCCAAGGAAAGAACTTCTCAAGTCTGCAAATTCAGTTGTGCGCGCCTATGAGGCCGAACAGAAGAGACAACCTCTCCGACGTTCCCCTCGTGGACACACCTAGCTCGGAGTCCTCGCTCCCCGGGAGGGTAGGAATGCAATGAATTGCAGTGGCATGCGAGTTGTACACTAACCTTGTTTGATGTTGCCTGGTTTTGAGTCCTTCGGGATTTGATCCCGCAACCTGTTTGTCTGCTGGTTTGTTTGTTGGCTGTGTTTGCCTGTTTATTTTGAGCCTTGTTGGACTCGATCCCTAGACCTGTCAGCAGCAGTCTCTGTTAGCTGGTCATAGACCCTTCGGGCTGTTTTGGGTTGTTTCAGTAGGAGGAACGTAGGCCTCTCCCCTCTGGTGCTGTTTTCTGTCTAGATACAGTCCTAGGCTGTAGATACAAAACTAAGTTGTAGGCTGTCGGGTCTGGGAGGCTGGAGATGAACAAAAGTACCGAGGGCAAAGTTTTAGGGGTTCTGTTCGTCATTTTTTTCCCCACGAAGTGCTACTGGAGGTCGCTGCTGAAGCTGCGTTAATTCCAAGTACTGCTCCTCCTTCCTCGTCGAAGGGAAGCTGACAACCATAGCTGGGTTTACCTGGCTTGTGTGGAATTGGCCCCGGGGCATGAGGCCCTGCTTTGTGAGATTCTTCCTCCACCGCTGTTCTGTATGGGGTTTTGGACAACTGCCATCGAAGCAGCTTTTCCATGCCTGCTTCGAAGTGGCAGGTCACCATCTTCATCGAGCTGTTGTGCTTCTTCTTCGTCTAGGGAGCTTCCCTCCTTTGCTGATCGGACACGTCATCTGCAGTGGGTATCGCGATTGAACTGCTGAGTGACTGTTTAGAGACACAAGGGTTGGTGGCGATTAGTGGGCTTTATAGGTTGGGCGCAGGCCTGCGCCATAGCTGTGAGCTCGAAGGTGTGGGAGGAAGAAGAAGTCTCCCTCGATGAAACTCTGTAAATAATTTGTTTATAGATGTTGTTAACGTGGTTGGGATTCTTGGAGTTGTGCTGTTGATTGAACTGGGAGAGACGGTAAATTAGAATTGATTTCGTTTCAATTCTATTTTTGGTATTTGTGTGCTTCCGCTGTGCATTTTCATCATCCGGTTCGGTGTGGATTTTCTCTCTCCAAGTCTACTTGCAATTTCGCATGTGTATGGGAATATGTGTATGCTATGCTGGACTCGTTTTCAATCAGGCACATATCAAATTGATCGCCGCCTAGCCGAGAAAAAGAAAGAGAGAAGATAGGAAGAGATAGAAGGAAGAAGAAATAAAGAAGAAAGTATAGATGGAGGAAGAAAAAATGAAAAATGAAACGAAAAAAAAATGGAAAAGGAATTGAAAGAAGAACTACAGACGATTGAAGAAGAACAATGGCCGGATGCAGGAGAAGAAAGGCTCTTCAGACGATGAACAAAAAGGGGGGAAAGTAGCTAGACAGGTGGAGGACTTTAGGTTAAACCGCTGGATTGGTATGATAAATACGCATACTCCAGTGACCAGATTGAAGAGACGGAGGAAGAAAGAGATACGTTCATTGCAAAACTGGCGTCCATTGAGGACAAAAGGAAAGCTGGAGGAAAAACGAATTGCACTGCACAGTAAAATGTTGGTTGCAAAGCGACAAGAACTTGAAGAGAGAAAAAGACTGCAGGCAGAGGGTGAGAGGTCGCAAAAAGAGTTGCAAAACCAAAAAGACAAGCAAACAGCAATTGAAGAAAAACTTGCCCTCCTTACAGAAACGGTCCTCCATACAAAGCAAGAATTAGCAGCAATAAACAAAACCTTGCTGAAAGTCGAGACCCACCAATACGAATTTGAGGGAATCTGAAACGCCTTCCTGCAGAAGTCCGCAAAGGATGTTGATCAACATGTGCAGTCATATATTGAGAAATTAGATGATCACAAACCTTTAACGATATTTTTACTTCAAGGGGAGAGGGTCCAACGTTTGACAAACGCTGGACCGCATAGGGGCACGAAGTGGAGTGGGCTCCGGCGTTTGTGAAACGCTCAACCCTCTATAACTTCAGCACAATTAAGGGAGAGGGTCTAGCGTTTCACAAACGCCGGACCCCTTCCGTGCCGAAGGGGGAGTGCGCTCCAGCGTTCGTGAAACGTTAGACCCTCTCCCATTTCCGCATCGATATGGGAACACAGTTAAGCGTTTCACAAACGCCGAAGCCCCGCGCCACTTCGAGCCCCCACGGGATCTGGCGTTTGTGAAATGTTGGACCCCCTCCCCCTTCAATCACAGATAGTGGAGAGGGTCTTGCGTTTCACAAATGCCGGACCCCATGGGGGCACGAAGTGGAGTGGGGGTCCGGCGTTTGTGGAACGTTGGACCCTCTCCCCCTTCAGCACAGACAACGGAGAGTGTCAAGTGTTGGGATCAAACGTTTGTGAAACGACAGACATCTTTCGGGACGGGGGGTCCGAACTATATGCAACACCGAGACTAATCCGACTCTCCCCCCTTCCAATTCATGGGGGAGGGGGGTCCAGCGTTCATGGGGTGGTTGTCTGCCGGTGTGGTTGTTCATTAGATGTGCACGATTTTAAGTGGGGCTACGGATTAGTGTTGATGTGCGATGTCGGTAGTTGTAAAGAGTACTCACCGTAAGGGAACACGTTCGATGCTCGTTGTTTTGGCAGTGATATTGCTTGAAAGTAGCTTGCAACGGACGATAGAGTGGACACATTGAGCGGAATATCGATGGAATAAAAGAGTGTGAAGTGTTGAGGCACTTAGCGTCGATCCATGGTTGAGCGTACCGCCATGGCGCAATACAATTAGGCACTGGAACGAACGTGATTGGGAACAAGCAATGAGGGAATGTCCTTGGGCGAGCCACTATCACTTCGCAAACGAGATGGAATGGGGTCATTTAATCGAAATACCGTTCGCTGCCCTCGTGACGACATACGTGCCGAACTGTGAGGAACTACGATGGCTGCAATCACGCGCGAGTATGTGACATCTTCGCCTCGCACATGGAGGGGGGACTTCAGGTCCGAGCTTGAAGACCGCGGGAGGTTATGCTACAGGGTCACAACGTATCCAATGCGAAACAAGGGCGGACCGACCCTACAATAGTTTGAACGATGCTAGATTATGCAGGGTTAACTATGTAGCATGCGCAAGCAAGTGCATAAAACTGGTAGAGGCGCGATGTAATGCATTGTGGAATGAGGATAAGAGCAATCACGCTGCGTTTAGTGCTTGTGAGTCGCTAGACGTGATTGAGGACAAAATATCAACCATTAGAGCCGCCATCGACAATGCTATGTCACAGTCACACGGTTTTGTGGTGATGTCGTATATGTCGTTATTTGCGGTCAAAAAGATGGCAAGAACAAGGGTTTGCAGAGGCTCAGTTTCGGGTCACCGCTGAACGGATTGTATGGTTACCAATCCAAACGTGCGTTGAACATGTTTTTCTAGTTTCGATATAGTATTATGTTCACGTATGAAAGTGCATTGTTCATGTGCGTGTGATGTGTAGGGTGCAAAATGTCGTCGAGGATGTCGACAAGCATCAGTGGAAGTCCCGAGAGACACATGCGCTTACCAAAACCGTTTCCTCCTTGTGCGAAATCGGTGCGGCATTATAACGGTCATACTTGGCTCTACAAAGCAACAGGATAGGAATTCGAAGAGGACCCATGGATGACCGTCGTACCGTACATGAACCGACATCTTGACCAATGAACTGATGGTAATTGGTATGCGATGGAGGGTGGCTGCCCCTGGACAAGCCATTACAAGTTCGCCAATATGTTGGAGTTCGAAGACCTCATTGCAGTGCCTCATGGTCTCCTCAAACCCATTTTCCTCACCCGTCTGCGTAAAGCATACCACAACATTAACCGCTATAGCAGTCGCCTCGACTTCGCCTACATCAGGACTTTGTCACGAACTTGGGAAAGCTCGCTGAAACAAGAGTTGGTGGACACAGCTCGTCATTGTTCATTCTTGGAGCAGTACCCACTCCGTTGCCCACGGATTTATCAACGAGCTGTGTCATACTGTTGCGTGCGGTTGAGTATTACCGGATATGATTTCGCAAGAGTGCTATGTGTATGCTTCTTCAAACAAAAATAAGAAACTTGTGGATGCAGTTGTGTGTGTATCACGGAATGAGCTCTTTGTTCAGGCGCCAAGGCCTAGAGGGATGGTGGTTGCCTATTCGCTGCGGTCCAGATGAGCGGTCAGATTTTGTGATAGCAGGACAGATGCATAATCCGGCATTGTGGCAGCAACTGGAAGAGAAAGCGATGGCCATACGAGACGCCATAGGCAATTCCTTAGCACGACCAGGAGAGTTTGTTAGGATGAAATACATGTCCGTATTTTCAGAGAATGCAACACTCGAGGATCCGCAGATCCACGTATATGGATCGTCTATGAATGCTATGTATGGCTTCGGTCCACGACATCGTCCGCGAGAAACCCCGTACGTCACAAGATCCGTACGGGTTGTCAGACCTCCTACTTAAGGAAAAAATAGTGACGATATAATCATAGCGCATGATTATCGATTTAAGAAAATAGAATTATTTCATGGATAAAAGTTATATTTCTTATGAAACATGCTATGCATGTGTGTAGCAGAAAATTGTAAATATACAGGGTAACGAACAAAGATATGAAGTAGTAGAGAGAGGTGTGAGAGGCAGTAGTTGCTAAGAACTTCGCAAGTAGACGCTATACGGAGTATCTTCGTAGTTCAGTAATTTTTTATTTGTATAACAGACGTGCTGGTGTAAAATATTCAGAATCTAATATGATGAAACTCGTGAATTTTGTTCGTCTATGCGTTCAACTTGCAGGATGGAAGTCGGTCAAACAAGCTCGCATGGAAGCGGATCCTCTAATCAAGTTCCATCAACAATCGAGGATCTCATTATTTTAGGCACTAATATTTGGTCGGTTGACATCGTCGATGAATTTGCAAATGATGAGTACATAAATGTCGAAAACGAAGTTGGGATGGATGGGGAACTTCTACCGATCATGGGTTTTATTAACGGACAGGAGACGATTGTGTCCGACAAAGGATCAAATGTATGGTACCTATACACAAAGGAGGAAGAGGCATACGTCATTGTGTCGAGGAAATACGTTGTGGATCCTTTGGAGATGATAGCAAACTGGAGGGAGGTATGCAGGAAACATGACTGGGACGCGAAAGACAAATTGAAACAAAGGGTAAGTGCGTGACATTCCATTCGCAGAAGAGAATTGCTCGCACCAGTGATGGTAGACTACTACGGTCGAATCCGAGTATGAAACAGAGGCAAGGCCGTAGTGACATTTTTTACAGCAACGAAGATCACCGGCACGACAATGAATGTATTGTTCACTGCCTGGGAAGACCCCGCAGGTTCGAGCAAACTCGAACAATTTCGGAATCGGTTAGAAATTGATGCGGCACTTAGTCAAGAGTTAATGTACAAGGTTGACAGTTTGGTGCATGTGCAACTGCACTACCTTTTTGATAAATGTGAGGATATTGTGTTTACTGTCGAGCATAGAAAATGTAACACGGATGAAGTGACTCGTACGAAGCAGTATCATCGATCGGGACAAAAAGAAGTACCGTTAGTGGGTGGCAGACAAAAGATAGTGATAGATTGTCCGTACTGTGAAGATATAAAACACACAACAAATTTTATACCTCTTCTCCTTCACGAGACACAGGATAGCACCCAGTAGCATAACACGTTTGTCATAGCCGAGACATTTTCAACAATCGATGCGCTTCATCGCTGACACGTGTTCTGGACTTATGAGCAAATATGAATGACTTTCCTTACTATGGAAATATAAATTGATAGCGCATTAAAGCGATCGTGAGTTTCACATTGTGTGGTGAACGCAGTCAAGTTTCTTTTGTTATGTTTATTTGTGTTTTTTTTTTAATTATTTCATTTTCGGTTACGGTCATGGTTACGCCGGACCCGGATCCGGACCGGACCGTAATCGAAACCGGACGCGCGTCCGGACCGTACCGGACGTCTGGAATTCCGGACATGGTCCGGACCTTCCAGACATAGCGGACGCGGACGGTCCGGAAAAAAAAAGGTCCGAAAAAAAAAAACAAAAAAAAACAAGGGGGTGACATTCTTCCGTAAATGTGTCCAACTTTTCAGTGTTTTCACCGATCCGAACTCAGCTCAACAAACAAAAACAGAACACAGCATAACATAAAAAAAAAAAAAACAGAACTGGCAGGAAGTAAGGAACGGGGGGTATAGACGCTGCTGTCACTTACCTGAAGGCCATGTCCGACCACCCCCGCATGTGCTCTTCATAAAAAAGAAAAAAAACTTTGACAATCACACAACAGTGACAACACGCAGGTTAAACAATAATGCATGTTCACATCAAAGAGCAGAACCAGTTATAATAAGTCTGATTAACTTAGCAAAAATGTACTTGAAAAATGAGAAGTTCAACTCGGAACTCCAAACTTGGAAGACCAAAGTTCAACGTGTGTGGCCTTCATGACTTTTTTTTTTTTTTTTTTTTTTTTTTTTTTTTTTTTTTTTTTTATGTGTGTGTGTGTGTGTGTGTGTGTAAGTGTGGCGCTCTACGCCTTTTGGCCTGTGCCTTTTGACCTTTTGGCCAGTGGCTTTGATTCCGAATCACAGTCAGTGGACGAATCTGCACTTTTCTCCTTCTCCTCTGCATCCGCATCACTCACGTGCGTGGATGCGGATGCACGCTTGGATGCTTCTGCAGGATCTACAAATTCTACACCTTCAATCCCCTCCTCCTCATCTCCCGGTGTGTTGTTTGCCCGCTGCACCTTTCGCGGTCGCCCTGGCCCTCTCTTGCTTGGAGGCTTTGCAAGCGGAGCGCATGCAAGGGCTGGACGCTCGTGTACTTCTCAGCATTTTCGGCTGTGATGTTCTTCGCACCACGCTGAGACTCAGCCAGATGAAGGTGAGCTAGATACTTGGAGGGTCGTGTGCACTTCCTCCAAGACTGCTGCTCCGCATTGATGGCCCTTTCAAGCTCCAACACGTTCGATGAAGCTCGCTGCTGTGACATGTGTCCATGGTGCCACCCTTCATCATCAACATCATTGCCATCATCGCTCCCAGAGTCCGGATCACTGTCGTCGTCGGTGTCATCATCATCTGACTCCTCCTCCTCCAAGTCGCGATGCAACCTGGCTCTCCACTCCTCCACTCGGGCCTTCGCCTCTTTGCACAATTCTTTTCTTGTGAGCTTTCTCTCCTCCCCCCATGCAAGCTCGTCGTCAACTCCGTTGGACTTGCTCTCCTAGCTGTTCAAGAGGAACTGGTTCCATCTATTGTACACGAGCTTGCTTAGCTGGCCAGCACCCAACTTGTTGCGCGGTCTTGAGTGTATCCTCTCGAAGAGGCTCCAGTTCCTCTCACAGCTGGATGCAGAGGTCCCTTGTCCCAACAAACGAATTGCTTGCCGCTGCAGGATGGGTAATTCGGCGCACCATCTCCTCCACCACCTCGCAGGCTGGGCACCACGTGCACTTGAAACCGCCTCCTCGGAGTTAAACTTCCCTGTTCCCTCAATCCAATTGTTCACCTCCTCGTCCAACACCTTGTATGACTTTGGCTTCGCCCATGAGTACAACCACGTCCAGAATCCATCCATCACCTCCGTATCCTTGTCCAATCTCACGGTTAGGAACTCCGGGTCCGGAAACATTGCCGCACAATGAAGTGGAGATGTCATCGTGTTCCACCTGCGCATAATGATTTCCTCCAGTTTGTCTTTCTCCATCTCCAAGAGGAATTCATTCTTCCTCAAATTCTCCACTGCCTCGTCCATCCGACCATACACTTGGTTGATCCTAGGTCCTGCACCATCTGTAAACTTCAACAGGGGCAGCAAATCATTGGATGTCTCCTTCACCTTTTGCACACCAGCCCAAAACCCGTTATCGAGCACCTCGTTCGTCGCAGTGTGAAACAACCGGCGGTGTGAGAGGAGGACAATGGCCTCCTTCCAATCGTCATCCGTGATGCAAGACCGTAGCGGTAGGTACAATTTTTCGAGACTCTCCAACATGATGAAGTTTGTAGCAAACCGGGTTGCACCTGGCCTCGCAAGACCATCTCCTCCCGAGTACACCAGCAGCAAGTCACGCACTTTCAAGTGGTTCATGAAGAACTTTGTGACTTCTACCGCTCTCTTAAGCAGCACATCCACCCAGCCGATCTTGCCGAACGCCTCGAACATTAAATCAATGCTGTGCGTTGTGCATGGCATGGAAAAAATATGTTCGAACTCTGACTCTACCATCCGGCCAGCAGTTGCGCACACAACCGCATTGTCCATAACAACCCCTACCACTGCGTCCTCCCCCACCTCACGGATAGCCCTCGATAGAATTGCGAAGTACGCTGCTGCGCCTTTATCACACCGCTGCATGCACACACTGCGCCAGAAGATGGCGCCTTTCGGGAACGAAACCATGACATTCAGGTGTGATCTTGACCGCCTATCAGTCCACCCATCAAGTTGAAGCATACAACCGGTAGGCCACTCTTGCTTCAGCCGGTCAACCCGCGCGGACACCCTCGTTCGCGTGACGTCAACTCTTCCAGTCCTTGCTTTGTCGTACTTGGCATATTCGAACGAGGGAGGCGCATTCTTCAGCTTCTGAACCATCCTGTCCCAATACCAGCTCCGCATCATGTTGAATGGGATGCATTCTGCTGTCATCCAATCATCTATGGAGCGCGGGACTTCCTCGTTCGCCGTCACCACCGCTGCGCTATCGATGATTTTTGTCTGCCGCAGTTTAGAAGGACCAGCAGCGGTGGCAACGGGTGCAGGCGTGTCATCATCCTGGGCAAGCTCGTCCCCTTCCGAAGAACTGTTCCGTCCCTCATCAGCACCGTGAACCACCCCCCCGAGTTCTATGATTGTAGCATCCCTCATTCTCTCCCTCCTCCGCATCTCCTCGCTCGTTATGGTCCCTCTCAACCTGCTTACATGACATTTCCCTTTCAAAAAATGTTCCTTCAGCCTTGTGGCGGTGCCACCCCTCTCGATCCCACAATATAAGCACACTCTAATCTTGTTTCCCTTATCGGGCTGTCCAGTGACACACACGTCTTCGAAGTGTTTCTTCACTGCCTCAGAATCCTTCTTCTTTATGCTGACAGAAGACATGAACGCCACAAGACAGGGAAAGAAGATTCACAAGTTCAGAACCTGAGTCAATCCCATCTCCTTCTTAATCTCAAATACTCTCCCTGACCCACTCTCGTCAAGGGCTTCAAGCAGACAAAAAAAAAAAAAAAAAAACTCTTTTTAAGTCTCCAAGGCCGTGGCTGGCCTTGTGCAACTTTCCATGGAAAGGACGAGCAACAGATCACGCGGGAGTCAGATTCCTGCCAAGG